ACACACACACACACACACACACACACACACTTTTCTACCTTCTGCTCGCTGCTATCAGATGGCCTCCTTTGCATTCTCACATGCCTCACTGTGGGCGTCTTTATCCGTGAGGCTGCTGGAAGCCTGAAACATCCGAAAGGGACACATCAAACTCAGTGTTCTTCTCTGGGTCCCCCCTGCTGTGCGTTTTCTCTCGTTTTGGTCTGTTCAAAATCTTCATGCTGGTCAAGGCATTATGGTTCAGTACTTTGAAAAAGTCCCACTATTGCTTAAACTTTTTAATATTTTTTGAAACATTGCAGCCATAAATTGTACTGTATTTTTGTTTTTTTATTGTGATTTTAGGTGTTAGAGAAAGAAATCATTCCATCACTGTGAGGAGAAATGAAAAGGGTAAATTGTTTCCTTTTCTTTAAACAAAAAATAAAATCTGAAATGTGTGTTTATACACATTTTGAGCATTAAACATTTCACATAGCACTGTGCAACCCATTCTTCCAAAACTGAAATGGGTTTTGCACAGCAAACCCAAAGTAAAACAAACACTGCACATAATCCTGAACGCACCCAGTAACAAAAGGTGGAGGCAGCGTCATGCTGTGGTGTAGGAGTTCCTTAGGAGGACAGTGAAACTGTTCAGAGATGATGGGATGACAAAGCTAAACATTGATTATTCCTGGACAAAAATCTGTTGGAGGCTGGAAAAATGACAGAGCTAATAGAGACATGATCCACTTGCATCTGGAATTGTCAAGAAAACTGGTTCTACAAAGTAAAGTCACCAAACGTTGAAGAGGATGAATGATTTTACATTTACAACAGAGTGCTCCTTTGTGCTGATCAAATAAAATCCAGCTGAAAACACTGAAATTTGTGGTGGTAACATGATCAAAAGGACAAAATTTTCAAGGATTTGTCGTTCTTCTGGAACACCCTGTTGAGGAACGCTTCCTTAATTAGAAAAAATTTATTCAGGTATGAGCTGATAAAATAAATCTCTTTTTATAGTGCACCTTAGCAAATATGAAATATGAACAAGTGTGAAAAAGAGAGAAAAAGATGTTCTCTGACATCATTCTACATCAAAGCCTGGGTCTTTCAGTGTCTGGCAGTCAGCACTCCACTTTGGTTTTGAATCATCTGTCACATACCAAACTCCCGCTGAAAAAACCATCTGAGACTGACAAGCCACAAGTCCCTCCAACTGCTGCTTAGTGACAGCAGTCAGCTTCAGACTTCAGTGATTTAGCCCTGAAGGACAGGCAGAGGCACAGATTTCACTTCGCCAACAAACTTCACTTCAGTTATTACCCACTTTAGAGGTCTTTACTTTTGTCAACCCTTTATTAAAAGGCTTGAACCAAAGTATTACAATGCCAGGAACAGAGATTTGTTCTAATGTTTCTACTTTTAAATGTTGCTAATTTCTTTCTGATTATGAAATCTCCACAACAAATACTAAATAGACGTTGCTGTGATATCCTAGATATGAAGGGGGGAAAAAAATCAGACTGTGAAAAGTTCTTCAAAGACCAAACTCCTACTGAAAAGGTCCAAAGGTGAAATTGTGTTTGACCTAACCTTGCTTTTGCAAAAACTTGAATATGAAAATTAAACTAATGACTTAATTTCTGATGACATAAATTACCCAGGCCCTCTAACACTGAGGGTCTGGGTCAGATTTTGTTTTAAGAGTGGGTTTTATTTAGTATTATAATATGCAATCCACATCATTCACCGTGTAAATCTTTGAAGGTAGTGTTTATAAAGACCTTAAAAAGTATCAGGATCAGAATGAGCTTTATTGCCCACAATTTTGTGCATGAAAAGTTTCATGAGCTTTGGTCTTGTGTTTCTCTTTATTTTAGGATTCATCAGTCTTTTCATATTCAGTCCAATTCTTAAGTGTAAGATTCCTTGTAGTTCATTCTATTTTTTTAATATGCTTAGTTGGAAGTTACATTTGCTCGACCTTAGTTCCTGATTTTTTGTTGTTTTTTTTCTTAGCATTTGGTTAATAATCTATTATATTTTACTTCTTGTTTACAGAGATTTATGCCGCTGCTGTTTACTTCTGTGTTTCCAGAACTACCTAGTAGCTTTCCCTCTGTGTCATGGCTGCATACAGTCAAGGCCTGTCTCCTACTTGGTTTTCTCATACAGGCTAGTTCTGTGTTATTTTTGATTCCCCATTGAACCTGAGGGTTTTTTTTTTTTTTGTTTTTTTTTTTTTTAATTAATTGAACTATTCATTTTCAATGCAACTATTTTTTGGTACGCTTTGCAATTAGTTGAGTATTGTTTTATGTGCTGTAAACTGCTCTCACAAAGGTTCACGTTCAGCTTTCTCTCTTCAGTCTTCACTCACTTGGCCCTGACCTCGAGATTTAAGTTCAGCAAACTGATTCATCTTCATTCATGTTTTTTTTTTTTTTTTTGACCAATCCCAAAAAATCATGATGGAAAAGAAATGCAGCATCCCAAAAGAAAAATGGCATCTCCCTTCAGATAAAAAATGGAAATGTCATCCGGGGATGAATGAAATGTTCAGGTTGTCTTCTGTATCTATTTCAGAAGAAATAATTAAGACAGATGGGCAGATGAATTAACTGTCCTCCAAGGTCAAACAGCGATTGCCTTATTACTCTATTATTTCATTGTGCTGGAACTATACCATTGATACCATTTCATGATATTTTGTACTTCCACACCAGAGGAGCGAGTGGGAGAGAGGTACAAATTGATTGTTTGGCAACCAGATCAGTCATAGTCATGTTCGGCAGATGGATTAATGGCTTTGATGCAGTTTGAAGCAGAGACACTGCCTACATAAAGACAGGAGAGATTGGTTTGGGCCCTGGGGAGCTGAATGGATGTGTGGCTTGCATGTAAGGTTGCTTGGTTGTGTTGCGGAGGGAGACAGGGTAAGAAATGTTAGCAGTGACTTTGTTACATTCTTACAATTGTACTTTTTGCCATTACATGTCATTGATTACCAGGCTCATGCTTTTCTAGTATCTGTCAACCAACATTCTTGTTGCCACATTCAAAATGTCAATTCATAACACATTTCTGTGTTCTATAAAGTGTGCAGTGATTGCCATAGTTTTAAAGGTACTGAAATCTTATTGTAACCTCACAGTACAGCAATCAAAGGATTCACATCCCTTTAACTTTTCTAAATTTATTGTGATACAACCACCATCTTGTGGCTGCAAGCCCTAAACTGGAGAAGAGCCTGCAAACATATCCTAGGAGTTTGAATCCCAGCATGAAGTTTAAGTTTAAGGATTGATTCAGCAGCAAGAATGCAGGTTTTATTTAATATCACTGAATGCAGATTTCATGCTGAGGCCTACTGGAATCTCTTTCTTTTGGCTAAATAAGAATTTTTGCAAATGTCTTTTATTGTGAAATGAACCAGATGTGAATGCTTTTCCAGTTAACTCAGACATGATTTCAGGTGATCCCCACAAATAATTTCTAAATGTGGTGAAATTAATCAGCTCCAGTCTAATTGAGGTCAGTGTCTTGATACTGCATCAGCGGGAAAAGAAGTCCCACAATGATTCGTTGTGGTACGAGTACTAATATGAAATTATTTTTATAGCTTTAAATCTCATTAATATTTTAGGAAAACATGTAGGGGGTGAGAGGCAGCATAATCTTATTGAAGTGACATTCTCATTTGACTACTTATATGTTTAGATGTGTATGGTGATAATTTACCTGAGGCTATAAGATGGTATCAAATTAATGAAGAGTGAATATTAATCTCATACTTTTTCCTTCATTGAGCTGTTTTACTTATTTTCAGTAAAATAGTTTTTTTTTTTTTTTTTTTTTTTAATAAAATTGTCAGTGTACATGCACCTAATGGCTTATGAAATTCCCCGGGTCTATTATGAGAACTGAAAGTTTTTTTAGTGGGAAAGTGGAGTGCAGCATGTGGCCCTTCAGTTTGTGTTTTCATAGTCACAGGAGAATAATAACTAAACAAGAATGTTGTTACTCTGTAATGGGAGTGAGACAAAATGGTTTCTCTCACCATTATCAACTCCATTTCTTCCTTCCATTCTATCTGATGATCAATTAGATCTTAATGGATAGCCTGCTGTGTTGTGAGATGATGACCAACATGTTTTTGTATTGAACTAAGTAAATGACAGAACCACACAGAACTGAACGTCCCCTCCAAATTATTCTCTGTATGTTTCAGTTGTTGATTACATCATTTTAAATGCATCGTGATCGGATTTACATTTGGATTTCCAAAGTAATTTTGTCATTAACTTTTATAGCCTAAGAAGAAGTTATTATTTTTTGCAACTATTACACAAATATGCTCCAGTTCTTAACAAGTTCCTTTAAGAGTTTAGATTTTATGACTACCGGCCATAGGTGAACCAAAATTGCACATCATTTTCACATGCAAAGAAAACAAACGAAGGTCAAAATCAGTAAAATAGTGTTCTGTGTATTTGAGTTCAAGTTTATGACAAACATCACATGTAAAATTTCATGGGTAGTTATTGTGGATTCGTAATGGGATTGGTATGACCAAAGTTTCCCAACACTAGTGATGGAAGACGTGTGTCCTATACTCCATGTTTAGGGGTGGCAGTGGAAGTGTGATGGTTATGTTTAATCAAGTTTTTGGGAAGCCAGCCTGTTCTCTCTCCTGACAAATAAGAGGAACGTTCATATTTGTTTACTGTTGGAAACAAAACCTGCACAAAGGATGTTAAACAGATAAGTACTTATTACTTATAAGCCACTATTTTTTCCCCACAAGACTCAAATATATTTACACACAGAGAAAAAATACTACTTATGCAATAATAATCAATTCTTTATCTTAAAGAGGGACATAGCTTATGTTTTATTCCGTTATCGTCAGTTCGAAACAAAATAATCCAGTCCAGGTTTTTGTCCTTGCCAGTTCAATCCATCCAAAAAAAAGTAACAAAAACAAAAACTCCACTCCGCACTTTACAGGCAATCCACAACAGAGTTTCAAACGACAATGCTCTACTAGCTAACACACAACTTTGCAACTTGTACAAGCAGCTGCAGAGATAGACAGGTTTTTATAACTCGCGGTTTGGAAAGATACTTGGTCCAAAGAGAAGCGCTTCTGTTGTGAGCCAGGCAAGTTGTCAGACGATTCAGGACAAGCTGCCACTGACCGCCTGTCAGACGACGCTCCCTTTGCCGCGCTTCCTTTCAAAGGGGCGTTGTAACCGGAAAACACTGGGCTTGGCTCGCCACTGTGTCGGAGAATGCATGCTCCAAAAGGAAATGGGGCGTGGAGGTGAGTGCAATGTATGCGAAATATTTAATATCTTAATCTTATTAAGATTGGGTTGATGCATGTGGTTACTGAAGCCTAGATGCAATAGATGAGTTTGCTGTACTTCAAATTGTTGAAGAAGATCTTGCTGGTTATGATAAAGAGGTGTCAGGATTACAGGACAACACAGATCCTTCTAACAATGGAAAGACCAATTACCGTATTTGCCGCACTATAAGGACTATAAGGCGGACCTTCAATGAATGGCCTATTTTAAAACTTTTTTTTATATATAAGGCGCACCGCATTATAAGGTGCATAGAGTAGACGCTACAGTAGAGGCTGGAGTTACGTTGTGTATCCACTAGATGGAGCTGCACTAAAGGGAATGTCAACAAAGCAGTATGACTCCAGCTGGCGAGGAGAGCCTTCCGCGACTGGCCGGTCGATGGTCACCGGTCACCGTTCCTGCACAGCATGTTCGTGGAAAACGTGGTGCTAAATGACCTGCAGACGACCTGATTCTAGACCATTGGTAGGTAGATTGGTCAGTAAAACTTTATTAATAGGTTACAAACCAGCATTCTGACAACTATCCCAGCATGCACCGCACGCTTCTTCTTCCACGGGAGAAAATGAAGTCAGCGACTGCTTACTGTAGTTGCTAGGCCTATATATATATATATATAAAAGGTGCACCGTCGGCTTTTGAGGAAGTTGAAGGTTTTTAGGTGTGCCTTATAGTGCGGAAAGTACGGTAACTCAAAAGTCATATTTTATGGTTGTTGGAGGAAGCTGGAGTACCCAAACAGAATTCATAGAGGCACAAGGAGAACATGCAGATTCCTTGTAAACAGTTGGGATTTGAACCCAAGATGGCAAAAGTGCTACCACCTGCTCCACCGTGCTGACTGTTGACACCCGTCTGAGGGTTGTTTAGACCTTTTACAAGGTGGTGCTCCCTGTCACAAACCAAAATATTCAGGAGTAGCTGGAGGAGCAGAACAACCATTTTGAGGTTTTGACTCGAGCATGTGTGAGATGTTTCAGACAAGCAACAACTCATATATTTAATGGCTATGTGGGATAACACATTATCAAAGATTTTATTTTAGACTTTATCGCCTTTGGATCATGTATAATCTGTGCAGATTGTGGTTCTGACAGCGTGGTAATTAACCAGTTTAATCTTTGCAAATTGCGGACCAGAAAGAAACATAATGCTAAAAGAGACAGTTGATTCAACTTTGGCTCAGACCTTGATTAAAAAGGCAGATTATAAAATAGGATTTATTTCTTTATTACTTTGCAAGCATTAATTTTTTTTTAGCTCGGAAAATTTTAAATCTACTGTTTTTCTCATTTTTTAATTGCCTAAATTAATATCTTTTTTTTTATCACTCCCTCAAACAGTTAGCATATTTTTTAGAAAGCTTTTTACATGAAAAGTAAGTACATAGCTCGCATTTTGAAACCAAAATGGACACATAATTAGTTGTTAACATCTGTCTTCATAATAGAGTGCAACAATATAACACAGTGTTTCAGTTCCCCTTTCATTTGAGCACAAATGGCAATCCCCTATTTTAAATGACAGCGCCATTAGTAGGATAAATTTTCCACATGAAAGCGGTGAAAATCTCCGATATTCACGTGGTAAGACTACACAGTCCTGCTCCTTTCACAGTCACAAGTCCTGCAATACAAAACCCTGATCAACATCCAAGGCTGCCTCTTGTCAGCCGAGGAATATATAAAGATAAATGATATTATGTTAAATTCCACTTAATGACAAATTTTTAATTTTCTGAACATGGTCATTTTCTGGCTAGTGAGTCAAGTGTAAGGAGCTAATTACGTGAGGATCTGAGCAAAAATAACTCCTCATTTTCAGGGATAATGGAAGAGAAATGTTGTAGATTAATGGCACTATTTATCTTTTTTAAATTTCGATCTTTCTCTGGTGATGGCTGTGCTCCCCTTGGAAAATATTCATAAAATGAAATTGAAGTCGTAACTTAATAGGTTATTAAAATTTTTGAGTGCATATCACTTCTCTTTGCGTAGCGGTGTAAATTTAAATTGAAGTTATGTGGCATTCAGAGTCACTACTTGATATTTTTTTCCCTCCTTCTTTAATGGTTTCACAAAGGAGAAGGAACATGCGTCTTTGTCAGGAGGTATTTGCTATTCTAATTTCATGGCAGGCCAGATTATCAAGAAGGGAACGGCACATTGTTGGCTGCTGACAACTCCTCAGCCTTCAGCCATGTGTTTCCATTAGGAGCCCTGGGTTATCCAGGGGTTTGTTCCTCCTATTATTTTTCATTTCAGTCTTTTATCTTGATTTAAAGTGAGGCTTGCTGAATATTCTCCCCTGCCATTTCATTCCCCTTTTAGGAAGTAAGAAATGCTGTACCGTATGAGGTTTCACAGGAGGGACCTGTGCTCTCAGGGGAGGCGATACAGATCGGTTCAAGGTGAAATAACTATCTTTAGCCAAGCAGTGTGTTTGGGAATGCGGAGAGGAGGAGGGGCGGCAGAGTACCTGGAAGGAACAGGGACACCTGCAGCAGAGGGTTTCTTTCAAGGTCATAGGGCAAACCCTCCCTGAGCCTCTCAGCCAAGTTTACAATGCGTTTTTACTGACGGTGCTGTTTTTGCAACAGGGCTGCACGCGTTACTATAAAATGTGTTTCACTTACTGGCCAACAACAATGGAACATTCAGAAATGTTTATTGCAACATCTTTCTTTATGTGGTAAAAAAATAAATGAGTAATATGGTGGTATGCTACGTTTCTTGTAACTTTATCAAACAAGCACCTATAGATACTGAAGTATTAAGACTTTCTCAGTTACCAGATTTGAGTAAAATAGGCAAGGGACCAGACATTAATATCCATTTAATATGATGGAGTTTTACTCAACAAATAAAGCTCATTACAGAAACATGAAACAAACAATAAAATCTATTTTCATTTTTGATTCTTTTTGGCAGAAATGAGAGGATCCGTGGTCAGGTATTTGGAACTGTTAAAAAATGACCTCCACCTTGACAAGACCACAACTCCATCTGAACAAAGTGACCCCACAGCATGATGGCCCCTCCACCATGTTTGTGGGCCTAGTGTTCTTTTGGTGAGGCGTCAGACCATAGCACAGTCCCTTACAAGGCTTTGGGAGGTTTTAGCTCCGTTTCTGATATATGAAGGACACAAAAGATTCTTGTTTCATGCAAAACACAACCAATCCTTGTTAGAAATCCCTTCAGCTCCTTTTGTGTTACTGTCAGCCTCTTTGCATCCCCACTGACCGCCAAATCTTTTGAAAAACCCAGTTGTTGTATACTATGTCTTCACTGTGACATAGTGTATATGTGGCATTGCAGAACTTTGTAACTGTTCTCTGAACTGGTACCTCTATACAATGAGATTCTTTACAATTTCTCTTCTGAGACAGAGTGTAGATCTCTGAGGAGTCAACCTGCTCAACAAACACCAATGAGATTAGAAGCAGATATCGAACTCTTTCAAGAAACAGAAATGAACACCATATCCAAAATTCCCACAGTAATATAGTTGGGTACGCCGACTTCGTCACACAGTGCAAAAACATGACTGCAAGGTTATCGGTCTTTCTAAATGTCCTTAGGTGTGAGTGTGTGCATGGTTGCTTGTCCTCTGTGTCTCTGTGTTGCCATGGGATGAACTGTCTAGGTTGAACACCCTCCACTGGTGGGAATAAGCACCAGTGGAGGGTCCCCGTCTGGGCCAGTAGGTAGACAATGAATTCATGGATATTTGAATCATTCTAACACATGGTGTTTGGTTAAAACCATTAAACTTCAAACCCAATCTGAGTCTTATATTATAGAAATAATGTAGAAGTTTCTTTCTGTGGAGAGAAACTGGTCCATTTTAATACATTGTTTTGATTATCCCTTCAACCATTTTGGTATCAATTAAATTTGATGTAATGCATGAACATGTAATTCCTAATTTTGAAGGTTTTTTAATATTAATGTATTTGGGATGTTGTGTGTAGAATTTCAAAATAGACTTTATATTTTAGTGCTTCCAGACAAAATGGAGCACTGGACGCTTCAGAAACTTTAGCTAGACCCCAGCCTCTGCCTCTTAGCCACCTTCTCAAGAATAGTTCATTTATTTACATTCTGAGAAATTTAGAGAAGTTTCCACTTAAATTAAAATGGATACGATTTTGTTCCTCCAATTCAAAAATGGACGCCGTGCAAATTTATCATTTTGCCAGGGAGATAGCGCCATAGCTTCCTATAAAAAATGCTTCCTGTTTTTTTTTTTTTTTCCTTCTTTTGCCTTCTCTCTTTTTGTGGTTTCTATTTAGAAATTCTGCAAGCTCAAAACCTCTCACATAGGAATGCTCATGCAATCCTGACCTGTTTAAGCTGTATAACGTTGATAGGTTGTCAGGCCCCCAGCGAAAAGGCCCAGAATAAAGCGAGCTATCCTTTAAATTGCCAGGGTGATATTTGCAGATAATAAAAGAGATAAATCAGACAATGTGGCTGAATATTTCATTTGTTATCCATATTCCTTATGGGCAAAAAATGCTACAGAAATGTAAAAACAGCAATTCCACTTTACCCCCTCTGGAATTGTAACACTTGAGATGCTGTTTTCATGTCTGAAGACAAAGTGCGTGCTCTCCTTCAGCCTGCAACAGATAAATCTAATAGGCAGCCAGAATTACTGGTTGTAATGTTGTGTAGTCTTAACCCAGTCTGCTCTCTCACTAGTTTTATTTCTGTCAATCTCTCAAACTAATGGATCCTTGGCAGAAATAGCTGGAAAATGCTTTCTATTTATAGATTTATAGAATGCAGCACAAGGGCCAAAAGAAGGTATAGTAATAGGACTGTTGTCTAAAGTGCACACGATGATGATATGTGTACATTTTCATTATTAGGTTTCTGTGAAATTAGTGTGCTTTTTTTTTTTTTCTTTAAATCGTAAGCAGCAAACTGTATTCTGATCCTTTTACATTCACATTCCAAAATAAAACCTCGGGGAAGCAGTTGCATTCATAAATCACTTTGTTCGCCATTAGTCAGCCTGTGTGTGATTTGGTTAACAAAGACCAAGGATAACATCAGATAGGGATAAAGAAATGGAGAGGCTTAAAGCAGGGCGAGGGTTTGAGCAATATTCTAAGTTTTGATCATTTTATGAGTGCATTCCAATTCATCGTCTGCGAATGGACAGAGTATGACCTTGGTTGTGTCCAAATTCAGGGGCTGCATCCTTTGAAGGACCTGGTCTACCCTGATGATGTGGCCTGGGACCTTCGTTGACTGCGAAGACCAGAGTGAGTAAGTTCTGAACTTGTGTTATTAATGAATATCTTTTTGTGACTGCTCTGCCTCACTTCTTTTGTGTCTTGCAAGAAATCAAGGCAGACAGTAGCAAGCCTGCCAAAACCTGACCATGCACCTAAATGGGCGAGGAAACAGAGCAGCAGCCAGAAAGGCCGTGGTAACTCTGGGGGACCAGCAGAGATCTCCAGCTCAGGTGGGACAATCTGCTTGTGACAAACTTAATTGAAGTGTAGATAAAAGAAAATCAAGATTGAAAACAAGCTTTAAGAAGCTAAGTTTTGTGTGAAACACGGTGGTGACTGGCATCATGTTGTGGGGATGCTTTTCTAAGCAAGGAAAAGGAAGCTGATCAGAGTTGATGTGAGGATGGAAAGAGCTAAATACGGAGATCAGAGATGGAGGCAGAAGTGTGCCTTCTAGAAGAACATTTTTATGTTGTAATGGCCCAGTCAATGTCCAGACCTAAACCAAACTTAGATTCTGTCGCCTTGTATTCTATTTTTCTGTGTGTGAAAAAATATGCAGATTTTGCAGCTGTAGTTGCAGCAAACGGTGGTTCTAGAGAATCAACTCTGGGATTTCAGAACCTAAGCACTTATCATTTTCCTTTCACTTCACAATTATGCTTCGCTTCATCTTGATATACAGCATTAAATTATTTTTGCAAGACATTGTACATTAATGCATTTCTACTTAAACTGAACTTAATTGAATTGCGTTTGGCACCTAAACGCATCCAGCCCATGCAGCATCATCACATCAATCAGGTGTTTTTCACCCACTGTGCCCCCTGTGACGTCCTGCTGCTTCCGTGATGGGCCTTTTGCAACACTCTGCCCAGAACATATCCCTCGTCATGCAAATCATGCAGATGTACATGATGTTTCAGAAATGACACCTTAGACCTCCCCCAACCCCTGGGTGAGATTTTCCTCTCTGCAAGTGGCGCTGCTTTAATCTTTATTTCTTCGCGTCTGTCCTCCCAGGACCTATAATATACTGTCTCATTTCTTCTTTTTTGCCCATTTTCTGCTAATTCACCACCATCTGCCTTGGCATCTGTTTGAGAGGAGAAACCGGGAGGGGAAAAAAAAAAAAATCTGGAGGTCTGTTCTTTTTCTTCTTGCTCTTCTTTCTTCAACTTTTTTGTTTCTGCTGAACCAAAACTTCCACCCTAACTTGTTTTTCTTGGCTGCATAGGCCTCATCAAATCCCTTTTAAGAATAAAGCTACATGTAAACCTCAAACATGCTTCCTCTGTTGTTGTCAGCCCCCCAGTGAAAAGGCCTCAGCCCTCAATGACAAAAAAGAAGAAGGGAGGGTAAGAGGTCATATCCTTTCCATGTCCAACCGCTTAGTCAATAACCACTGTCAACAGGACACGACAAAAGATCAGAAAAGAGCAATTGTAATTTTTGGACAAAGGCGGGGAGCTTTCATAAGGCCGGGCTGAGAAAGGACACCACCTCCCCCGTGCCTCGCCGCCTCTCCTCCCTTCCCTTCTTTGAGCGTTGCTGACAATGGGGAAGCCTGCTGCAGCGCCGGGGAGAGCCGCGGGATCACCTCAGTCAGTCTGCGGATTACAGACATTCTTTGGCAGGACCAGTGTTGCTGTGGAGAGCCTGCCGGCGTCCTCGTGGGCCCTCTGAGGCCGCGGTGCTGCCTCGGGGGCCCCCGCCGTCCCCACCTCCCCTTCCCTTTTTTGTATTGTGTTTGGATGTTTGACAGACACAGAGCCCATAATAATCTCTTTCCCGCAGGGACCTGCACCATTTGTTTGGCAGACCCTACAAACAGTTTCAATCCCCTCTCTCCCTGCCTTGTCTTCGCTGCTGCAGCCCATCGCCGTCATCTAATTAATGCAGGCTCCCTTTTCATCTCCACTTCCTGTTCATTATTTGATCCTTCCCTCCTGCTCTCTTAAGTCCCGGATTTAAAAGTCACTGCCTCCGCTGGTTATCGTACCACATTTGAGTGGCTGGGGATTAAAATGGTGTCCTTTCCTGCAGATTAAGACTTTCTTACATATTCATTGTTTTACCATTATTCCTGCTAATATCCTCAAAACTACAGCTAAACAGGCCATTTTCACCGAGGGAAAGGATTAACTTCTTCATGCTTGTCTGTTATTTGAAGCAGCTTCATGTGATTTAATTTGCAGCAAACTGTGTACTTTTGCATTGGTAGTAAAATTTGCATTTTAATCAGCATATCCCAAGGGACATAGTTATGTTCTGAGACTGTATGCCTGAAATAGAGCACATTGCTTTGACATAATGAATATTCAGAGTGATTACTTAGATAACAAGCTGCTACAACTGCCATATTAACAGAGAACTGTTAAGAAAAGTGATTTCAAATTTTATAAAATACCCAATGTCTTAACCCTCCTGTTGTCCTCGGGTCAAAATGACCCATCTTTACAATGACCCAAGGACAACAGGAGGGTTAAATGCATTTTATTAAACGCTTCCCTGCATGTAATATTTCACTTACATGTAATATTTCAACATGTTTATGGCATTTATCACACACTAGTACAGCTGTACTGGAATTGTTGATACCAAACAATGTGGATTTGTTACAATGGCCTAGTCAAAGTTTAAAACTCAGTCCAACTGATAACTTGTGCAAATTTTATAAATCCCGCATTGCAAATGCTGTCAATTGTGGTCAGTGAGATACTGCATTCAGTAGTAAATTTTGGAGTTAGGTTCTGGTAGTTTGTGTACTTCAGTCATAATAAAATTGGCTCTGGTGATTAGTCCAATAGAGTACACAACATTCTGGCTTTGTTGCCCAGTAGATATATATTTATTTTATATTCTAAATTCCTTAAACACCTGGACAAGTGGGAAGTTGTAATGTACTTATTAGTCTAATTCTAGTTGTCTAGTTTGACACACGGATCAACTTAATTGTTTCCTCTAATTGTGACAAATATAATTTTGTAAAACAAAAACAGTAGGCCTACTTCTTACTGTCAAATAGTGTTTTCCCCGCCTTATAAAGAGTAATGCTAAAGTTTGGGTGTTTATGTCCAGTGAGAGATTGCGTTTCTACTATAAATTATGAATTCATTTAAAGCTTATTTTTACATGCATTTACCATTTAAAAGGAGACATTTAAAAGTTTCCATTACAACAAACCCTTCAAATCTTTTAAACTTTATTTTAACGCTTTAGGCACTTTTTTTGTACTCCGTGAACCTATAGGATGTGTGCTCTGTTTAAGGATGGTTGGTACCTTTAATGATGCACACAGAGAAGATCCGCCATATGGAGAGATATACAGTGAGGGTACACAACTGTAGCGATCTATTTATGACCTCTCCCTCTGAGAAAGAGAGATTTGAGGAGCTATAATTGGTTCTCCTCACATGTATTCTCCCCAGTGTGCGCCCCGCGCTCTCCACGGGGAGCGCTTTGATGATAACTTGCTGCATTACACGCTAACTTTTCGACAATGGCTACATGCTCTGTCTTTATTGCCCTGACTCCTAATGGCTATCTTGAAGTGCCGCCTCTGGCAATCCGGTCGCAAATAAATAGAAGCTGACACAGTAATTTACTCAAATCTTCTCTACAGTTTTGCCCCATTCTCCCTCCAGAGATTACCCCTGTAACAACAATTATTTCAAATGTCATTGATTCTTGCCTGCTGGGCACAAAAAAAACAACAACAACAAAAAAAAGAACAACAACATATCTTTTTTTATATGGAAAAAATGAAACATGTTTGGGGTGAGCTAGAATATTTAGGGGTCTTGTAAAACACACGACAAATGTAGGTTTGCTTGGTGGAGTTTCTCTTCTCTATCCAATTGAAAATCTTCTGTGTTTTTCACCAAATGACTATTAACCTTCATCTAATAGGGGCAATAGTTCTCATTTAGAGAGAAGACCCAGTGGAGGACGTATAATTTCCTTTCAGTGGAGTCTTGTCAGCTCTCTACACTAAACAAGATGAACACTCGGCTAAGGAAATGCTTATTTCAGTCCAGCCATCCCCCCAAAACACGTAAAATCATATTTCCAACTATTCTGTCAAAATCTCCTTTAACGAAAAGCTGAAAGAAACAGTTGTATTACAAATAAAAATTATTGATCTGTATATTTTTCTGTGTTGAGCATGTGTGGGAAGATGTTTGAGTGGCTGCGGGGTCAGAAAAAGGTTTGCGGCTCATTTTCTTGTTTCATGTTGTCGTGCACTGCACAGCTCACTGGAGGGAATCTGAACATGTCACAGTGTCATGCCGGTGTCTCTGTCTGGTTCTACATGACCCCTTTCACCCGCTGCTCTCCTCTCTGAGGACTCTGCCTGGCCAGAGACACATGGGATACCATAATAAAGATATTTTCTGCACCAACAGGAAATAAAGAAGGTGTTGTTGTGTGACCAACTGGCATTGAACTGTGCCCTTCTTGGGCTCTGAACTGACCTGCTGAACATAAAGTCTGCAAGGTAGGCGATCAAGCAAAACAACAAAATTGTAAATTAAAGTAAACCAAGAACTTCTTCTGTTACGTTAAACATGAAAACACTGCTTTGGTGATCATGAAGATAAGGTTTTGGCAGCAAATCAACCCACAAAAGTTAAATTTTCATGCATGAAAAGCGTGAAAAAACACCCTTGACACAACTAACATTAAAAAATAACTCAAAAATAGTCCAAATAATTTTAATGCACTTTCTTCTTTCTTTTCTTCTGACATGTTTATGTTTGAGGATTGGCAATGGGAAGCCCAAGTTTGACCTGTTTTGCTCATAAGTTTGTCTCGGTATTCAAGATGCTACATAATCTGACTTATTGTGAGGGAACGCAAAACGTATTGTATTGGAATTCAAAAGCTTTGTGAGGTAACCCAAAAAGTAAATAAATAAATAAATCCCCTGAAGGCACTGTTTTAGTAAACTTTACTTACTCAAAAAGAATAGCAATTTATTTATTAATTTTTCTTATTCAAAAAAATCTTAAGACTTCTTGTGCAAAGAAACCCCAAAAAATATAAATACAAATTCAGCATTTTACAGATAAGCTGACAGAGAAAATATTCACTGTATTTGTTGAAAAAACACAATTGTAATGTTCAGTGTAGTTTTTGGTTAAAACATTAAATCTATCTCCTACCATTAAATATAACTTTACCAACAACTGCATTAGTGCCAAAAAGAAATATGGGTCAAAAGTTG